CTGTTTTTCACAGAAAATCTGTATGCATTGATTGTGGATCAAAGCAGTTTATATGTGTAAGCCGTGTACCAGGGTGGGCTCCCCAGGATACAGTGAAGTCACGACAGAGTTTTACTTAGATGTGGCAAATAAACACAACCACAAATGCTGAGAACATATAATAAATTTACATACACCCAGCCCAAAGGCTGAGACCCTTGTGCTGCACAGCACGGCGCCTTCTGAAGGATGAAGGTAGAAAGTGAAGTAATTTACCTACTGGCAAGCACAACTAAGCTGCCACACCTTACCCGTTATTACCCTAAAAGAACAGGAATCAGTGTATGGGTGTACGGTATGGGCTAGCCTGCGGTGCAGCACAACAGCTTACAATCTTACACAAATCTACAGTATTCCCTCTCCCATAACTGGTCCTGTAGCACGTGCCTGAGTATTCCTTCTGAGCAAAACGCCAGTATGGCTTGAGTTTGTAGGATTTTATCAGCTCTCCAATGTGAAATGTCACTTTAAGTTGTGGAGTCCTTCCAATAATCAGTAACAACACTTGTGGCCTGACACAAACAGAGATCCTAACTAACTATAGGCCTGGACTCAGTCTCAAGGCGCCAACACTGAAATGAGGTGTGTGCACGATCTTACTGACCCGGGTCTGCTTTGCATCCGCTGGTGACTCTGAACAGAACAAATGTCTCTCCAACAAGCATGCGGTCTTGCCATATATGTTGCTTATTTCCTCTGCTCTCATCAGCCTTCCTTGTAGGAATCTCATCAGCATTCCTGGCAGCAATCTCATCAGCTTCCTGGCAGCAATCTTATCAGCATTCCTGGCAGCAATCTCATCAGCTTTACTCTGCTGCAGCTCTGGTTTAAATTTTTTTTGGGCCTTACCCTCAACATGGGCATTACTAAAAAAAATGAATTGCGGTTGTACTGATCCACAGACCCGATTCATCATATGCCGTGTTCTCTGCTGCTGTGGCCAGGCATAGATATGAGTATAATGTCTTCCTCAGGGTGACCCTGAATTTGACCGGCTCCACAAAATTCAGCCTGTCAGTAACCCGGATATGACCAGAGATGTGTGGACTGACACAGGGAATATCAGGCTTCAGGAGTGATGTGGATAATATAATTTATTGAGAGCTACACCAGTAAACAAAAATGCACAGTGCAAACAAAACCAAACCTTCAACTAACATATATGTTCAGAAATAAAAGCGTAGTCAGGGCTGGAGAAGTAGAATTGTCAGGCACGCCGGGTCAGGATCAATCGGGCGGATCAGGTACAGAGGAGTGGGCAAACGGATAGTCAAAAGGAGAGCTGGGTCGGTGCAGGCAGAGTTTAATCGTAGTCAGAATCAAGCAGGAGAATCAGGCAGGTAGATGACAGGATACAGATATAGGACAACAGGGGCTCATGGGAAAACAACACCAAGGCACTGATTGCAGGCCTGGTTACTGTTTAAATACACCTCCTGCAATCAGCCTCAGGTGATGGCTTGATTGCAGGAGGTGAGATCATGGCTGCTGAAAGGCACCTGCTGGTAAGTCCCAGTACTGCAACCATAGAGCAGGTGAGCCACAGCACCACCAGTGGTGAGTCCTTTCCTGACACAGCCCCTCGTAAATCACCTTAACCAAAAATGTGCAGATGTCTATACTCCCCAGCAAAAAATCTGTGTTGATGAGTCCCTCATTCATTTTGCTGGCCGCCTTGCATTCAAACAATTTCTCTCCAGCAAGTGTGCCAGATATGGGGTCAAGATGTAGAAGACCTGTGAGAGGGCACAAGGCTATGCATATACGTTTTGGATTTATGAGGGAAAAGATAGTCACCTGGAGCCCCCCAGATGCCCAGACTACATGGGGAGTAGTGGCAAGATAGTTTGGGACTTGGTGTCATCCTTTTTCCATATGGGGTAACACTTATACGTGGACAATTTTTATCACATTTATCACATTTAGACATTTGTACAATTTTGGAACTGGCACATGTGGCACCGTGCGACCTAATGTGTGCCCACCATTAGAAGTTGGGGGATGCAGGGCGGTATATTCTAATGGGCATACCACACACTTTTTCTGGCAGAGATTTCTTCTCTTTTTTCACTCAGCCCACAGGCTGCATACAAAAAAAAAAAAGAACATAGCATTTATACCCAACGAGGACCAGTGATGTACTGGTACATCACTGGAATTTGAATGGTTATACCAGGATGATGCCTACAGCTGCAGGCATCATCCTGGTATAATTTTTTTCAGCCAGCGATTGGCTTTCATGTAAAAGCAATCCTAGTGGCTAATTAGCTGCAGGATTGCTTTTTCAAGCAGCAGGAGATAATGCCACCCCCCTTCCCCCGCTGCCTTCCACGGCCCTCTCGGGCAGTCCTGTGCCAGCTGACCATAGAGCTGATTGGAGACTAGAGTGGTGCCAATCATCTCTATAGTCTAAGAATTCGAAAGCTACAAGCAAAAACATATTTTCTCTTTTCTTTTTTTATATTTCAAAACCTTGTGAGAAAAAATTAGATCTGCAAAATACTCACCATGCTTCTTTTTAATTTCCTTGGGGTGTCTACCTTCCAAAAAGGGGTCATTGGAGGGGGGGGGGTGCTATCCTGGCATTTCAGGGCCATTGAAACTGTGATAGGTAGGGAGGAAGTGAAATGAGGAAGTTATGCACCTTCAGGCTTTCAAAGTAGTAATTGGATTTCAGGCTCCTGTATGTGGCTAGGCTCCCAAAAAGTCAAACACATGTGGTATTCCCATACTCGGTAGAAGTAGCAGAATGTATTTTGGGGTGTAATTCCACATGTACCGATGGCTTGTGCAAGAAATGTATAATTTAAATGACAACTTTGTGTAAAGAAAAAAAAAAATTTTTGTAATATTCTAGAAATGTGGGGAAAAAAATAAATCTTCCATGGACTCAGTATGCCTTTCAGCAGATAGCTTAGGGTGTCTACTTTCCGAAAAGGGGTCATTTGGGGATGTTTGTACTATCCTGGTATTTTAGCACGTCAAGAAATGTGATGAGCAGTCAGAAAGTAAAAGCTGTGTAAATTCCATTATCTATACCATAGTTTGTAGACGCTATAACTTTCACAAAGCAATCAATATACACTTATTAGGATTTTTTAACAAAAAACTTGTAGCAGAATACATTTTGGTCTAAATTTATGATGAAATTTTAGTTTTTTTGGATATTTTTATATGACAGAAATGAGAAAATATCGTTTTGTTTTTTTAAAAAAAATTCTCAAAACTTTTTTTGTTTATAGCGCCAAAAATAAAAAGCACACAGGTGATCAAATACCCCCAAATATGCTCTATTCGTGTGAAAAAAGGACACATAAATTTCATTTATGTACTGTATTGCATGACCACGCAATTGTCAGTTAAACTAGCGCAGCGCTGTATAGCATAAAAATGGCGTAAATTGCAGTATCTATACCATAGTTTGTAGACGCTATAACTTTCACACAAAGCAATCAATGTACACTTATTTGTATTATTTGGATTTTTTGTACCAAAAACATGTAGCAGAATACATTCTGGCCTAAATTTATAACTATCTTTTAGTTTACTATTTTTTATAGCCGAAAGTAAAAAATATAGTTTTTCTTTAAAATTTTCGTTCTTTTTTTGTTTATAGCACGAAAAATAAAAAGTGCACAGGTGATCAAATACCACTGAAAGAAAGTTTTATTTGTGTGAAAAAAAGGACCTAAATTTCGTTTGGGTGCAGCATTGCATGACCGCGCAATTATCGGTTGACTTAGTGCAGTGCCGAGTAGCAAAAAGAGGTCTGGTCATTAGGGGGTAAATCCTCTGGAGGGCAAGTGGTTAAAGATGTGTGGGTTAGAGAGTATAAATTACTGAAAAGACTCTGACCAAAATAGCTGGGAGGGGATCAAGTCCATGGGGCAAGGGGGTGGGTGTTCATGAGAGAAAATGTTATCAAACTTGCTTTTTAAATGATTTGCGGGGGAGGATCAGGGCTGCTCTGTGCAAAACCACTGCACACAGCAGGTAAGTGTGACATTTGGTATAAATACTATACATTTTCTTTAACAGTACTCAATACTTGTGTATAAATGTTTTCCAAACTATTCACTGTGGTTTAAAATAAATTCAAAGAAGCTAGTATCATGTGCATGTACAGATAGGTTGAGTTCAATTCAGGGAGCAGAAGCACCTGCTAAACCAAGCACAAGTGCCAGCTGGGGTGAACATGTACATTGTGGTTTATATCAGAGGTTGTTGGAAGATTATGATATAATTTGTTTATACAACTTAGTAACAGAGTAACATTAGCACAAAGAGCATGTTGCCACAATGTACAATGACATTGTTGTGAACCCAGAAGTTGATAAAGAAATAGACTATCACGCATCATATTAGCTTTGTTATCATCTAAATAGCTACCAATAAAATGTGTGGCTGACATGAAACATGTCTTAGCTGACATTTTATAAGTGAGCATGCAATTGCCTTTTAGTGTATTTACCTAAATTTCTATTAAAAGCATTATACACTTTTAAATATAGTCATCAGTGTAGTTATATTCTATGGGGTTTATTTACTAAAGTGGAAGAGTGCAATATCAGGCTCACTTCTGCATAGGAACCATAGAACAAGCTGTGGTTAGAAGCTGATTGGTTTCAATGCAGAAGTAAGCCTAATTTTTCACTCTTCGGCTATAGTAAAATAAACCCCTATGTATCATTTGTTTGCTTTACCTTGTAATGATAGGGACATGTAGTCCATGCAGTTTGTAGTGTCATGACTGATTGATTCACCTACATCTATGTATTAAGTAGCCTAGCTTGTCCCTAGTGACAGGCAGCTTCTTGTTATAGGTCACACATGCCTTGCCAATTCCTCTACAGTTGCAAGAAAAAGTATGTGAACCCTTTGGGATTACGTGGAGTTTTGCATGAATTGGGCATAAAATGTGCTCTGAACGTCATCTAAGTCACAACAATAGAAGAACACAGTCTGCTGAACATAATACTACACAAACATTAGATGTTGCCATGGTTTAATTGCACATAACATGTTGGCGACTTCTGCACAGTGTGCGCTTCAGCGTAGGCAGACCCCACTCTGTCATTTTACGTGGCCTACCACTTTGTGGCTGAGTTGCTGTTGTTCCTAGTTGCTTCCACTTTGTTATAATACCACTAACGATTGACCGTGGAATATTTAGTAGCAAGGAAATTTCACGGATGGACTTATTGCACAGGTGGCAACCTATCACGATACCACGCTTGAATTCACTGAGCTCCTGAGAGCGACCCATTTTTTCTGAAATGTTTGTAGAAGCAGTCTGCATGCCTAGGTGCTTGATTTTATACACGTGTGGCCATGGAGGTGATTGGAACACATGAGGTGGGTCCCAATACTTTTGGCAATATAGTGTGTGTATATACTGTGTGTGTATATATATATATATATATATATACAGTTGCAAGAAAAAGTATGTGAACCCCTTGGGATTACGTGGAGTTTTGCATGAATTGGGCATGAAATGTGCTCTGAACGTCATCTAAGTCACAACAATAGAAGAGCACAGTCTGCTGAACATAATACTACACAAACATTAGATGTTGCCATGGTTTAATTGCACATAACATGTAAACATTCACAGTGCAGGGAGGAAAAAGTATGTGAGGCCCTAGCTTAATGACTTCTCCCAAAGCTAATTGGAGCCAGGAGTGAGCCAACCTTGACTCCTATCAGTGTGATGATATTGGATGTGTTGCTGACAGCTGTCCTGCCCTTAAAAAACACACACCTGTTTTGGGTTTACTGGTTTCAAGAAGCACTGTCTGATGTGAACCATGCCTCGCAGAAAAGAGCTCTCAGAAGACCTACGATCAAGAATTGTTGACTTGCATGAAGCTGGAAAGGGTTACAAAAGTATCTCCAAAAGCCTTGATGTTCATGTGTCCACGGTAAGACAGACTGTCTACAAATGGAGAAAGTTTAGCACTGTTGCTACTCTCCCTAGGCGTGGTCGTCCTGTAAAAATGACTGCAAGAGCACAGCGCAGAATGCTGCATGAGGTAAAGAAGAATCCCAGAGTGTCAGCTAAAGACCTACAGAAATCTCTGGCACATGCTAACATTTTTGTTGACACATCTACAATAAGGAAAACATTAAACTAGAATGGAGTACATGGGAGGACACCACGGAGGAAGCCATTGCTGTCCAAAAAGACGTTTGAAGTTTGCAAAAGAGCACCTGGATGTTCCACAGCACTACTGGCAAAATATACTGTGGACAGATGAAACCAAGATTGAGTTGTTTGGGAAGAACACACAACACTATGTGTGGAGAAAAAAAGGCACAGCACACCAACATCAAAACCTCATCCCCACTGTGAAACATGGCGGAGGGAGCATCATGGTTTGGGGCTGCTTTGCTGCCTCAGGGCTGGACGGATTGTTGTCATTGATGGGAAAATGAATTCCACAGTTTATCAAGACATTTTGCAGGAAAACGTACGACCATCTGTCCGCCAACTGAAGCTCTGCAGAGGATGGGTGATGCAACAGGACAATGACCCAAAGCATACAAGTCATTCAACAAAACAATGGCTGCAACAGCACAGAATACGCCTTCTGGAGTGGCCCAGTCAGAGTCCTGACCTCAACCCGATTGAAATGCTGTGGCATGACCTTAAGAGAGCGATTCACACCAGACATCCCAAGAATATTGCTACACTGAAACAGTTTTGTGAAGAGGAGTGGTCCAAAATTACTCCAGATCATTGTGCAGGTCTGATCTGCAACTACAGGAAACGTTTGGTTGAGGTTATTGCTGCCAAAGGAGGGTCACCAGTTATTAAGTCCAAAGGTTCACATACTTTTTCCTCCCAGCACTGTGAATGTTTACATGTTATGTGCAATTAAACCATGGCAACATCTAATGTTTGTGTAGTATTATGTTCAGCAGACTGTGTTCTTCTATTGTTGTGACTTAGATGACGTTCAGAGCACATTTTATGCCCAATTCATGCAAAACTCCACGTAATCCCAAGGGGTTCACATACTTTTTCTTGCAACTGTATATATATATATATATATTTATTTATTTATTTTTTTCTGTATATACAGTATATGCTAAAATAAAAACCCATTGCAGGTCTGTGTGCATCCTCACTATTGCACTATAGTGACTACACAAAAAAAGAGCAGCATTCCCATATTTATTTCATGGAATCTACCTTTACAGAAGCTGAAATAGCAGCGCCATTCAAATCCTTTAATCTCTCCATAGTGCCTGGACCTGATGGCTTCTCTGGGCGTTATTATAAAAAGGTTTGCCGAAAGACTGACACCCTACCGACGTCTATACTATAATGCATTGTGAGATGTGACCCAGATACCACTGCACAAAAAAATCACCCGACTATCCATGGAATACTTAAGCCAGGCAAGGACTGTGCCAATTATAACCCACGAACATGGACCTCAAAATTATGACAAAGGTTTTAGCTACACAACTAAACTCCTTCTTATATACGTACACCCGGACCAGGTTGGGTTCGTTCCTCAGTGGCAGGTCCCAGACCAAACAAGGTGCTTGATCGACTTTCAGCAATTCAATCGGATTTTGTTAAACAGTACCAGAGAAGGGGAATGCTCCTGTCTCTGAATCTACAAAAAGTTTTTGACTCCCTGTCCTGGCAGTACCTTTTTTATGTCCAACGGAAATACAGTTTCTGTCCAAATTTTTTGGCACTGTTAAAGACACTCTACAAGATGCCTATGGCTAATCTCCTTATCAAGGGTTATAGCTCCCCACTCATATTTATTGGTAGGGGCACTCGTCAGGGATGCCCTCTGTCCCTGATACTTTTTATTCTGGCCTTAGAGCCCTTGGCTATCAGACTGCATGATGACAAAGATATACAAGGCATACTCTGTGGGGGGCCAGGTCCACAAATGAGCCTTGTTCGCAGATTACAAAATACTAAGTCTCTTAACCTCAATCACCTCTATACCCAACCCCTATTCTGACCTACATGTTTCCTCCATCTTGGGACTTAGGGTTAATCATAACAAATCACAGGCAATGAATCTTTCCTTGGATCAGCGTATGGTTCAGGCCCTTCAAAATACCTTCCCATATCCCCTCCCAATCAGCTGCCCTTCCCTATTTGGGAATCCAATTGACCCAAAACCTTCAAACCCTGTACCAAAACAACTGCCCATTACTATACAAAAATCTCTCTGATGACCTACAATGATGGTCTAAAAAAACTCAGTCTTGGTTTGGTAGGCTGCACTCACTCAATATGAATGCCCTGCCAGACTACTGTACCTCTTCAGGATACTCCCAGTGTCTCTTAACCGGTTGGATCTCAAGAAATGTCAACATATAATGATGTTTTATATCTGGGGTGATAAGAGGCCTAGGTTGAACAAAAGGATGCTTTTTGCTCCTAGAATATGGGGAGGACTGGGGTTATGGACCTGCTTAAATATTTTCAGGCCGCCCAGTTGGCTCCACTGATCACATTTTGCACAAGAAAAAGTTGTCTAATCTGGATGCATCTCTATTATAACTATGCGGCCTGTCTGCCATTTGCTGCAGTTACAGGCCAAGGCTCAACCCATGATTCTTTGCTCCACTCTTTTTTTCTATAGGTTTGTGAGATGGATATTCCTTGAACTATAACTTTCAGTCAGCGTATGCTCTCCTGGACCCCTTGCTGAAGAATCCTGATTTTTTTTCCCAGGTCTCACCCCCAAGATTTCTCATGGTGGATCTACAAGGGTCTATTGCATATTGCTGATTTTTATGATCATGGAGATGTCTTGTCAATGAAAACTTTTAAAGAAAAATACAATCATCTGCCTACAAAATACTACCACTATACTCAGCTCATTTTATTACCTCCTTGAAAAGAGTGCCTGACCTCTCTACAACAACACCCATGGAATATTTATGTAAAGATATTGATAAACACTTGGATTACATATATAAGGTACACTATATTGGCAACATTTTTGGAAAACCCCTCCAAAGCATTGGATTCAGGTGTTCCAATCATCTCCACGGCCACAGGCAGAGATGGAATGACCATTTGGAAACTCGGGCACTGCCCAAGGGCCCGGGGTCAGTAGGGGGCCCCATGAGATGCCCCTGGTACATTTTTCATAGGCTGTTTTGAGTTTGGGCAAGGACACAGGGGCCCCATGATCCCCTATTGCCCGGGGGCCCCATGAGTTGTCAGTCCGCCCCTGGCCACAGGTGTATAAAATCAGGGAATGCAGACTGCTTCTACAAACATTTGTGAAAGAATGGGTCGCTCTCAGGAGCTCAGTGAATTCAAGCGTGGTAATGTGATAGGTTGCCACCTGTGCACTAAGTCCATCCGTGTAATTTTCTTGCTACTAAATATTCCACATTCAACTGTTAGTGGTATTATAACACTATGGAGAGATTCAAGGATTTGAATGACGCTGCTATTTCAGCTTCTGTAAAGGCAGATTCCATGAAATGAATATGGGAATGCTGCTCTTTTTTTTGTTTAGTCACAATAGTGCAATAGTAAAGATGCACACAGACCTGCAATTGGTTTTTATTTTAGCATATACTGTATATACAGAAAAAAAAAAAAAAAACTATATATATATACACACACACACACACACTATATTGCCAAAAGTATTGGGACCAACCTCCAAATCACTGGATTCAGGTGTTCCAATCACCTTCATGGCCACACGTGTATAAAAACAAGCACCTAGGCATGCAGACTGCTTCTACAAACATTTGTGAATAAATGGGTCGCTCTCAGGAGCTCAGTGAATTCAAGTGTGGTACCGTGATAGGTTGCCACCTGTGTAATAAGTCCATCCGTGTAATTTCCTTGCTACTAAACATTCCATATTCAACTGTTAGTGGTATTATAACAAAGTGGAAGGAACTGGGAACAACAGAAATTCAGCCACGAAGTGGTAGGCCATGTAAAATTAAAGAGCGGGGTCAGCGCATGCTGAAGCGCACAGTGCACAGAAGCCGCCAACTGTCTGCAGAGTCAATAGCTAAAGACCTTCAAATTTCATGTGGCCTTCAGATTAGCACAACAGAGCATAGAGAGCTTCATGGAATGGGTTTCCATGGCTGAGCAGCTGCATCCAAGCCTTACATCACCAAGTGTAAGGCAAAATGTTGGATGCAGTGGTGTGAAGCACTCCACCACTGAACTCTAGAGCAGTGGAGACGTGTTCTCTGGAGTGATGAATCACACTTCTCTGTCTGGCAATCCGATGGACATGTCTGGGTTTGGTGGTTGCCAGGAGAATAGTATTTGCCTTG